TTGGGAGGCCAAGGCGGGAGGACAGCTTGAGGTCAGGAGTTTGAGACTGGCATGGCCAACATGGTGAAACTCTGTCTCTACTAAAAATATGAAACTTAGCCAGCGTGGTGGCATGCAGCTACTTGGGAGGCTGAGGCATGACAATCGCTTGAACCCAGGAGGTAGAGGTTGCTGTGAGCTGAGATGGTGCCACTGCACTCCAGCCTCAGTGACATAGCCAGACTGTCTCAAAAACCAAACAAACAAAAACTGTATTATTAGAAAGAATGTCTCATATAAAGGCATATGAAAACACAAACACACTTTACACATCTACGTTCAGTGCTGTACAAAAATTAGAGTACCAGCCTTTTATGACATGCCAGCACTGGCAACCTATAAAACGTAATTTACAAAGTTTAAGCTCCTTTCCAACATCTAGATAGGCAGAGTAGGAACATTCTACTGGCTTTGAATGAAAATACCGTTCATCTTCTTGTACTAACAGATCGTGTCATTCTCCTCAAAAACCTTCAAAAACTCCCTACCACAGGGAGGTGTCCTAAGAACTGACACCTCAGCCATAGGTAATCAAGGCTCTCCGCAATCTCAGAGTCCCAGGCTACCTTTACAGCGTCGTCTCCCAAAACCACTTCCCTCACCAGCTTGTTACTGCCTAGCACTTTAATTCTTTTTTTATGCTGTTCCCTCATCCATCTGCCAACATCACCCACCCATCACTGGAGGACTAACTTCTTGGTATGTGATCTCATCTCTAAGCTCACCCCTTCCCCCCACTTTTACCTATTCTAAATACGATTTTTAAAAAATCTAGCCGGGCGCGGTGGCTCACGCCTGTAATCCCAGCACTTTGGGAGGCCGAGGGGGGTGGATCACGAGGTCAAGAGATCGAGACCATCCTGGTCAACATGGTGAAACCCCGTCTCTACTAAAAATACAAAAAATCAGCTGGGCATGGTGGCGCATGCCTGTAATCCCAGCTACTCAGGAGGCTGAGGCAGGAGAATTGCCTGAACCCAGGAGGCGGAGGTTGCGGTGAGCCGAGATCGCGCCATTGCACTCCAGCCTGGGCAACAAGAGCGAAACTCTGTCTCCAAAAAAAAAAAAATCTTCACTTCTGCTTGCCTGTCTTCTCCACTACACTATGAATTCCTAAAAGGCAAAAATCACCAAATCTTATTCCTGGGCATTTGACAAAGTCACAGTGCCTTGCAACTAACAGGTCTTACATGCAATAAATTAGGATAACAGAATACTGTATAGCAGGGTATTATTAGGGTACTAGCAGGGACAAGGAATAGGCATGTTAAACAATAAAATCAATTTTTTAAAATTCAAGATTGAGCCTAATTAAAGCATACACTGTTTCAGTATTAAGCAAAACAAAATTATTAAAATTACTAGGCCAGATATTCAAAACAGAATACTATAAATCAGTTTTCTGTGTGAAATACACAAATTCCTGAAGTAACTGAATTCCACCAGAGAAAATGGAACTCTAATCTAGTTCAACAATTATACTGCAACATGTACCAAGGAAACATTTCTATAGACCACTTTGTATGCAATTTTACCTTTTTCTTTTTGACTAACAAAAAGATGAATTGTCATTTAAATGTAAACTACCAGCAGATCCAGAAACTTTAAGCCTTTCAGCAATGTTCTTTCCAACTTAATTCACACATGTTAAAATCACAAACTACTTTTTTTTTTATTTTTTTTTTGAGACGGAGTTTCACTCATGTTACCCAGGCTGGAGTGCAATGGCGCGATCTCGGCTCACCGCAACCTCCGCCTCCTGGGTTCAGGCAATTCTCCTGCCTCAGCCTCCTGAGTAGCTGGGATTACAGGCACATGCCACCATGCCCAGCTGAATTTTTGTAGTTTTTTAGTAGAGACGGGGTTTCACCGTGTTGACCAGGATGGTCTCGATCTCTTGACCTCGTGATCCACCCGCCTCGGCCTCCCAAAGTGAGGGGATTACAGGCTTGAGCCACCGCGCCCGGCCCACAAACTACTTTTAAAACACTGTGTTAGTAAAGCAATGCAAGAGCATGAGATAACCTACGTCCTGACCTTAAGCAGCTGACAACGTAGAAAAGCAGATACACAAGCAATCCTTGGACTATCAGACACAAAGAATAAATGCTACAATAGAGGTACATGTGCTATGAGAGCCCAGTAAAAAAGGGGGATAAAGGGAAATAAAAGGGTAGAGTGAAACGTGGGATTTAGGAGGAGGACCTGAAATTTGAAAAATTAAAAAAGGAAAGATGGCACTCCAGGACGAAGGACGTGAGCAAAGAAGCATCAGAGTGAAACACCTCTTCCCCATAATGGGCCCACGATTGGTGATGATTCTAGAATGGCAGAAGCATAAAATTTTTGAACATATGAAGATAGATAGGAGCATATACTTATCGTAGAGCCCTCTGAACTAACCTAGGGAAGTTAGACTTAATTCTTGGAAGAAAGAATAAAGAGTCCCTGAAAATTTTAAAGGTAGGGGTGAAAGATAACGATGTTTACTTCCCCTTAAGATGTGTCTGTACTCGGCCGGGTGCAATGGCTCACGCCTGTAATCAATCCTAGCATTCTGGGAGGCAGAGGTGGGCGGATCAGGGGGTCAGGAGTTCGCGAGCAGTCTGGTCAACATGGCGAAACCCTGTGTCTACTAAAAATACAAAAATTAGCTGGGCGTGGTGGCGGGCGCCTGTAATCCCAGCTACTCGGGAGGCTGGGCCGGGAGAATGGCCTGAACTCGGGAGGCGGAGGTTGCAGACAGCCGAGATCGCGCCATTGCACTCCAGCCTGGGCGACAAGGCGAAACTCCGTCTCAAAAAAAAAAAGATGTGTCTGTACCTATGAAAAAGGATAAGCATTAAAAGAAAAAAAATGTCTCAAAACTGCTGTATAACAATCTTTTTTTTTTTTTTTTTTGAGACATAGTGTCGCTCTATCACCAGGCTGGAGTGCAGGGGCGCAATACCGGCTCACTGCAACTTCCGTTATCCGGTTTCAAGCAATTCTCCTGCCTCAGCCTCCCGAGTAGCTGAGACTACAGGCATGCACCACCACGCCGGGCTAATTTTTTGCACTTTTTCGCAGAGACGGGGTTTCACCATGTTGGCCAGGATGGTCTCGATCTCTTGACCTCGTGATCCACCCGCATCGGCCTCCCAAAGTGCTGGGATTACAGGTGTGAGCCACCGCACCCAGCCGTATAACTATCTTTTAATTTTTTTTTTTTTTTTAAGCAAAAATCTCAGTCTCCCTATGTCACCCAGGCCGGAGTTCAGTGCCACGATCCTAGCTCACTGTAACCGTCGAACCGAACCATCGAACTCCCAAGTTGAGGCTGGGACTCAAAGGTTCCTCCCGCTTCCACCTTCCAAGTAGCCGCGACTAGAGGTGCCACCAACGGACATATTGTTTCGAATTTTTTTTTAAGATAATTATTGTTTGCTAACTTTTAACAGTTTGGCATTACGTTACTGAAAGATCAGGAATCACAGTACAGAAACAATGTAGACTTCCCATAGCGCTTTGCACACTTAAGGCATCCCTTAATGTAGTAACTTTAACTGGGCTTGTCATCCCTGGCCAAATCATCCAAAATAAGTAAACTACTCTAATTTCTTCCTTCTCAGAGACTCTTATCAGTGAAAGCTCACCAAATACATTTCTTTAAAAAAAAAAAAAAAAAAAATGGGCGTCTCGCCATGTTGCTCAGGCTGGTCTCCAACTCCTGGGCTCAATCGATCCTCCCACCTCAGCCTCCCAAAGTGCTGGATTACAAGCATGAGCCACCGCAGCGAACCAAAGTTGTGTGTGTGTGTTTTGAGACGGAGTTTTGCTCTGTCGCCCAGGCTGGAGTGCAGTGGCGCGATCTCGGCTCACTGCAACCTCTGCTTTCTGGGTTCAAGCGATTCTCCTGCCTCAGCCTCCAGAATAGCTGGGATTACAGGCGCCTGCCACCGTGCCTGGCTAATTTTTATATTTTTAGTAGAGACGGGGTTTCACCATCTTGGCCAGGCTGGTCTCGAACTCCTGACCTCGTGATCCACAAGCCTCGGCCTTCCAAAGTGCTGGGATTACAGGCGTGAGCCACCATGCCGGGCCCTCAAGATAGCTCTTAAAATCTACAGGCTCTTTATTCTGAGAATAAAATGACGTTTAAGATTTCCAAAAGCTCTATGTTTTGTTCTATGAAGAACCCAGTTCTTCCAAAAATTTCTACAACTGACGATTTGAAAATAAAAACAACGCTCATCTCATAACACTATGCACACAGATAGTGTGAACCTCGTAAGCTTCAGGAACAAAATGTACCGTCTCTCAAAAAACCCAAACCAAAACAGTCGACCAGTGGTGAAAAGCAATCGTCCTCAGCTTCCCATGTGCGGACAAGGCAGGCAAATTAATAAGAACCCCAACATGTGTCCTTTCATTTTAAATCTCCTGTATGTGACCAATCGGCCGACCTGAGCCTCGGGTTTGAGCCCCGAGCACAACTCCTTCCCCGCCCGCACTACTCACTGCGGCCAGGCCCAGGCGCATGCGGAACACACAGCAACCGCGCACAGGCGCGGCGCGCCCGCCTCCCTCGGGGTGAGGCCCGCCGACCAGTCCACCGCGTGGGAGAGCCACGGAGCAGGGTCGCGGCCCCGGCCGGCCCGCGTCGGGAAAGGACCCGGCTGCCGGCGCCGGAGGCGACCTCGGCCGCGCCGCTCCGCCGCCATGTGCCGCCGCGCCTCGGGTCCGCGGCTTATATAACCAAGCCCGGCGCGCGCAAGCCTGCGTACCCGCCGCCGCCGCCCGCGCCCGCGCCCCGGACTCCAGCCGTTGGCCCCGCGCACGCCCGGCCTAGGCCCCGCGCCCGCCGAGCAGAAGCCCCGCCGCCGCCGCCGCCGCCGCCGCCGCCGCCGCCGCGGGCCCAGGCCGCGCCACTCGCCCCCCGCCCCCCGCCGCGCGGGCCCGACCTCCTCCCCTCCCCCTACCTGGGAAGGGCGGTGACCGCGCCGCCGCGGGCCGAGTCGCCGGGTCGCCAGGCCGGGCGCGAGCTCCTCCCGCGCGCGTCGTCACAGCATCTCCCGGGAGAGTCGGCCGCCACGGGCCGGGCTCCCACACCGCCGCCCGGCTGAGGCCGCTGCTCCGCGCGCCGGCCCCGCCCGCGCCCTCCCGGCCCCTCAGAGCCACACGCCCCCGAGACCGCCTCCGCCAGCTGCAGGCCTGCCGACCGCTCAGCCGCCACCACGCGGTCGCTGCCCCGCCGCAGCTCTGGGTCCTTCCTCCGGCAACTCCGCTCGCTCGCCCCGGACGGCGCCGACCCGCGCTGCGCTTTGCCCTGGGCCGACGGACCGAGTCCCACACGCCCCGGAGGGGAGGGAGCGGAGGAAGAGGGCGGAGAGGGAGGGGAGAAGCAGAGGAGATCGCGGCTGCAGGGACCAGAGTTATCGCGATGGTTCCGCGCTCCGGCGCCGGCTCCGCGGGAATTTTCAAACTCTCGGTGAAAGAAGGAGGTGGGAGGGAAAGGAAGGATAGGGAAGCAGGGTCGGGAAGGGCGGATCATTTACCAAAAATCGGGTCTCTCCGCCTCCGAGGAGCTGGTGGGCACAAAGACTACGAGTCCCACAGTGCCTTGCGCGTGAAGTCGCTCTGGCGGCCCCGGAGGCGCGCCCGGTGCGCAGTCGGGAGTGGTAGTCTTTGCCGGAGGTCGCGCCGGGCTGTAACCAGCCGCCTGCTGCGATTGCAGGTGGACTCACTTGTCACGTTTTCTTGTGGCCCTGCCTGCTGGGGGCCGAGTGACAATCTTTCTCCCATAATTGGCAGCTTGCCTTCTGTATTTCCTGTTCTGTGCTCTCAGTTTTCATGCCAAAGGCGGACTCCTAGACTTCTGGGGAAACGCTTTTTCCACCGTCCTATGTTTTTTCTGACACCCTCCTGTGCTTTCGTGGCCAAAAATGCTCGCGCAGCCTAGCCTGGTCTTTCGTTGAGTCCAAATTTTAGGTCGAGCGCGGTGACTCACGCCTGTAATCCCAGCACTTTGGGAGGCTGAGGTGGGCGAATCAGTTCGAGACCACCTGGAGGTCAAGAGTTCGAGACCATCCTGGCCAACATGGTGAAACCCTGTCTCTACTAAAAATGTAAAAATTAGCTGGGCGTGGTGGCAGGCACTTATAATCCCAGCTACTCGGGAGGCTGAGGCAGGAGAATCGCTTAAACCCGGGAGGCGGAGGTTGCAGTGAGCCGAGATCGCTCCACTGCACTCCAGCCTGGTGACAAAGCGAGACTCCGTCTCAAAAAAAAAAAACAAAAAAAAACAATTTTTTTTACTCCAAATCAGTGTTACCTTTTTGGTCACCCCAGGTTTTCATTGTGGAATTTCTTATTTCTTGTTGGTATCTTTTTTGAAGCGAATCCCAGCACCAAACATGTTTCAAACAGTTATGGAAGGTGTCCTTAATACTAAGTAGTAAATAAAAGGATTATAGCAGGAGGTAGAGTGGGGATTCTAACAAGATGCTTTTCTATCAGGAAAGTTTCTGTTTTTCTGTTACCTTTCCTATGTGCTTTTGAATTAATTTATTTTTATTTTATTTTATTTTTGAGACAGTGGTCTTGCTCTGTCACCCAGGCTGAGTGCAGTGGTGTGATCAAGGCTCACAGAAGTCTCAAACTCGTGGGCTCAAATGATCCTCCCACCTAAGCCTCCCAAGTAGCTGGCACTATCGGCATGCACCACCATGCCTTGCTACGCCCCATTAATTTTTTTTTTTTTTTTTTAAGAGATGGTCTTATTGTGTTACCCAGGCTGGTCTCTACTCCTGGGCTCAAGGAATCCTCCCGCCTCAACCTCCCAAAGTGCTGGGATTGCAGACATGAGCCACCATGCCCAGCCTATGTTTATTTTTGTAGAGACCGTGTCTTGCTGTGTTGTTCACACTGGGCTGCATGGCTTTTCGCAGGCACTGTGGCCTCATCAGTGCCACTGCTGCCTCCAACTTCTAGGCTCAAGCTATCCTCACACCTCAGCTTCCCGAGCAGCTGGGACTGCAGCCATGGATATCATGCCTCGTGCATATGCTTTCGGAGATAATGCTGCCTTTTGGAAACATAATTTTCTTTTTTCTATAATTTTTCTTTCGTAACAGCAACCCGCATACATATCATGTTTGTTTGCACAGAATATTGGACCAAGTTGTGATAGAAACAGTTAAAAGAGTACTGCTTTTGCAGTGGGAGGTTTAGGGTTCATTGTCTTAATTATTTTAAAGAGACCTCTTCAAACAGAAACCATCCTCTGTCGATATGCTGATTTATGTCCTTACCTTGCTCCACATTCTGCACTTCCTTTGGCACTATTTTATGCTCAGTTCCCGAGGACTGTACCTCTTGGAGGTCAGAAGACATGAATTATCAACTCAGATGTGCTGTTAGTGAGCTGTGTGACATTAGGAAAATCAAGTGGCCCCTGTGGGCTTCAGTTATCAGCTGTGTGGAGCAAGGGATTGATTGATTAGACAGACATTTATTAACTTTGCTCTAAGAGCCCTTCCAGTTGTGAAATTCAAAAGTGTATCTCAATTGTACATGTTATCCGGATTAATTGTCTACATGGTCTTTCAGATTTTAATCCTTCTTTTCATCATTATCAACAGAATAGTTTCTGTATGACTTATTTTTATTATTTATTTATTTATTTTGAGACAGGCTCTCTCGCTCTGTTGCCCAGGCTGGAGTTCAGTGGTGTAATCTCAGCTCACTGCAGCCTTCAACTCCCGAGCTCAAGCGATCCTCCTACCTCAGCCTCCCAAGTAGCTGGGACTATAGTTGCATACGACAACACCTAGCTAATTTTTGCATTTTTTCTTTTTTTAGAGACAGGGTTTCATCATGTTACCCAGGCTGGTCTCAAACTCCTGGGCTCAAGTGACCTGCTGGCCTCAGCCTCCCAAAGTGCTGGAATTACAAGCATGAGCCCCTGGCCTGGCCTGTGTAATTGTCTATAATCTAGACCAACTACCTGTCCTATTAATTTCCCTATATAGTTCCTGAGAATTGTTTTTTGTTTGTTTGTTTGAACTCTGCAAACATGTTTTCTCTTTCAGTGTCTCTCAGCCTCTTCTCTCCCTGAGTAAATCTTAACACCCCACGGGGCCAGCTCAAGCCTCTTTTCTCTTCCCAATCTTCCCTTCAGCGCACATGAATCAGCGAAAACCTGTGTGAAAATATGCCGTCTGAACTATTTCGTGTCTGTTTCCCTTTTTGCCTCTGACACTCTCCATCCACCCACTATCTCCATCTCCCAGCTCCACTGAGAGCACAGACTGTATCTTTTTTAAATGCTTCCCCCATACCTGCTAGTTTTTTATTTTAGTTGCTTTGCAAACTGAATTTCCAATTTAAAGCTCTCATTCAACCCTTTTTCCTCTTTCTTTCAGTCATTTAAGCAAATGCCAGATAATTTTAATTTGGCATTGGTTTCAAGAGATGTTAATACGTGCTAACTGAAGAAAAATCTAGATTTAGTAATCAAATAAGTTTGGGGGAAAAGCTGATTAAATAAAAATACAAATTTATTTTATGTAAGAGTTCACTGACTTTAATATGCTTGGCATTTCCCAGAGTCACTTGCCATGGCATCTGTTTACACGTGTGTGACATCTTGCCTTATTAGTGTTCCACAGGACAGACTTCAGTAAACACAGCTTCAAAGCTTTCTCTTACTGGTAGAAGTATGGTGCAGTGAAAAGAATGAAATCATTTGGAGCCAGATAAACTTGGGTTTTAATGCATTTCACTACTTTCTAGCAACATGACTTTAATCAAATTCCTTCACTCTCTGAACCTATTTTCTCATCTAAGAAGAAAAGATAATGTCATTCTCTTTGCAGAATTTTTGTGAAGATGAAAGGGAAGTATGTACTTCCTTAGGACCTCATTCCTTTTCACCTATACAGTCCTAAGTTATGTTGGTAACAGGCCTAGAAATGAATAATAACTAGTACGAATCCTCATGCATCCCATCTGGAATGTTTGATTCAAGAGGCATTTTTAAAAAATTTATTGATTGATTGATTTTTGAGATGGAGTCTCACTCTATCACCCAGGCTGGAGTGCAGTGGCACAATCTCAGCTCACAGCAGCCTCCGCCTCCTGGGTTCAAGAGATTCTCCTACCTTAGCCTCCCCCTGGGATTACAGGCCCACACCACCACTCCTGCTAATTTTTGTATTTCTAGTAGAGACGGGGTTTCACCATATTGCCCAGGCTCGTCTTGAACTCCTGACCTCAAGTGATCCACCCACCTTGGCCTCCCAAAGTGCTGGTATTACACCATCAGCCACCACACCTGCCCAAGAGGCAATATTTTAACACCATTCCAGCATCCTGGGAGTGACTAGCAGCCATCTGATTTCAGGGAATTCAGAACCCCACTGAGGCATTCTGAATTAGATCTCCATTTGTTTTGCAAAGTAACAGGAAAAGCCTTATTACTTTAACAACAACAAAGAAGGAGCTTATCTGTCTCAGGTAGGCACATTCTTCCTCACAGGCACACAGGTCATCATTCTGTAGACATGACTGGTTGTAGCAAGCAGTGCCCACCCTTGATTTCGCCAATTGACAGTAAACTAGGTGAATGAAGAATCGTATTTTTCCTGTTTCCTACTGTATTTCCAGTGATGGCATAATGGCCAGAGCATAAATACATAGCAAAATAATTGTTTAGTGACTGAGTAAATAAGAATTCATTTCATCATTCAAAGTAAAATATGCAAAAAAAAAAAAACCCACCAAAGCAAAATATGCAATATTAGATTAAAAGGAACCTTCGAGATATTCTAGGCCAAACACCTTATTTTATAGGTGGGGAAATTAATTGTCAATTGATTTGCTACAAATATTTTGGGATGGATTTTTTGTTTTGTTTAAAAAATAGGCTGGGTGCAGTGGCTCACAGCTGTAATCCCAGCACTTTGGGAGGGTGAGGCAGGCAGATGCCTGAGTCCAGGAGTTCAAGACCAACCTGGGCAACATGGCAAAACCCCATCTCTACAAAAAATACAAAAGGTAGCTGAGCATGGTGGCACGTGCCTGTAGTCCCAGCCACTTGGGAGGCTGAGGTGGAAGGATCACTTGTGCCTGGAAGGTCAAGTTTGCAGGAGCAGTGGCCATGCTACTGTGCTCCAGCCTGGGCGACAGAACAAGAGACCCTGTCTCAAAACAAGCAAACAACAACAACAAAAAACATTGTAGGGGAGGCAAAACTTGACCTTTTTCTCTCTTCAGCTCTCTGACTGGGTTTGAGAATTAAATGGACACAAGTGAGATTAACAGGAGAAAAGGGCTGAGCAAGATGGCTCACACCTACAATCTAACT